ATATATATATATATATATATATATAAAATTCACAAAGGAAGAAATACAAATAGTGATAAACATGAAAAAGGTTTACCTTTGCTGTTAACCAGGGGCATGCAAATCAAATAATGAGGCAATTTTTTTTTTTTGCCAATCAAATGGGCAGAGATTAGAATGCAGATAATAATTCCTGCTCTACCTACTTCACAAGGCTATTATATCAGATGAGATAATGTACATGAAAGCTGGTTACAAATTAATACATTACCAAATGTAAGTTTTTGCTATAAGACAGTTTGGTTTTTTCAGAAAGAACTGATAACAAAATGAAGAGCTAATTAAGATTTTTAAAGGACTTAGAACCAACAGGTGAAGACTTCATTAGATCACTTTTAGGCTAGATTTATGAATTTTGGTAAATGCCTCAATTCAGAACATTAGACTGAAAGTACCTTGAAAAAAGTCAGTCTTTTGGTTTTGTTTGTGATAGGGTCTCATTGTGTTGCCCAGACTAGCCTCAACTCTTGGGCTCAAGTGATCCTCTTGGCCTCAGCCTCCTGAATAGCTGGAAGCTACCCCAACCTACAACCCTCTGGCTCAGTCAGTCTTTTTTTTTTTTAATTGATTTTCTTTTTTAAATACATGACAGTGGAATCCATTACAATTCTTATTACACATACAGAGCACAATTTTTCATATCTCTGTATATAATTCACACCAATTCATGTCTTCATACATGTACTTTGGATAATGATGTTCATCACCTTTCACCATCATTGCTAACCCCCTGCCCCCTCCCATCCCCTCCCACCCCTCTGCCCTATCTAGAGTTTATCTATTCCTCCCATGTTCCCCCTCCCTACCCTATTATGAGTCAGTCACTTTATACCAGAAAAAACATTTGGCATTTGTTTTTTTGGGGATTGGCTAACTTTACTTAGCATTATCTTCTCCAGCTCCATTCATTTACCTGCAAATGCCATGATTTTATTTTCTTTTATTGCTGAGTAATATTCCATTTGGTCAGTCTTCTTTTTTTGATGTGCTGGGGATCCAGACAGGTCCTAGGCAGGTATTCTACCTCTATCTTCAGTCAGCCTTCTCAATTTGACAGGTGAATGTTCCGAGGCCCTGAGAGAAGAGTTTTGTCCAAATTACAGTAGTTTCATGCATGACTTAGGCAGACAAGTTAACCCTTTTCCCACCTAATACTTTCAATTACATCTCCTTCTTTCTTTTCTGTTCTCTCCCCTTCTGGAGTCTCATCAGTTTCTCCCTTTCTTTTCTTTGTTCCCTTTCCCTTATATATTATATAATTGAAGTTTTATTTTACTCCGTTATTTTTGTTGTTGTTGGTAGTAGTAGTAGTAGTAATAGTAGTAGTAGTAGTAGTAGTAGTAATAGTAGTACTAGGGATTGAACCCAGGGGTGCTTTACCATTGAGGTACATCACCAGCTCTTTTTATTTTTTGAGACATGGTCTCAATAAGTTGCTGAGGCTGGCCTTGAACTTTTAATCCTCCTGCCTCAGCCTTTTGTAGCTGGGATTACAGGTGTGGACTACTGCCCCTGCCTTTACTCTGTAATTATATGTTCCCTATACTTAAAGGGAGAATAGAGAATTTGTTTTTCTTTTTAGAAAAATAAAGGGTTGGGGTATAGCTTGATGGTAGAGTGCTTGCCTAACATGTGTGAGGCCCTGGACTTGATCTCCAGCACTGCAAAAAAATAAAAATAAAATAAATAGTGTTTTTTTTCCTTGTGATCCTTGATTGATAATCTTTCTTCCCACTCCATCCCAGCTCACCCCAATATCTGTCTGTCTTCCTGTCAGTCTATCTCTGTCTCTGTCTCTCTTTCCCCACCTCCCCCTCTCTTTCCCTCTCCCCATCCCTCTTTTTTTCCTTTACTAGAAATTGAACCCAGGTGTCCTCTTCCACTGAGCTATGCCCCCAGCCCTTTTTATTTTTGAGATAGGATCTTGCCAAGTTGCTGAGGCTGGTATTGAACTTGCAGTCCTTTTGCTTCATCCTCCCAAATTGCTGGGATTTTAGGTGTGTGCTACTGTGCCTTGCCTCCCCAACATTTTAAGGATTAGTTGGCTTCTGTAAAAAGAGATTATCTATTTCTGTGCCCACAATTGGCTAGAAAAGGGAAGCAATGTGTACATGATTCCTTATCTGGATACTAAAAGTCTATTTTTTATTATATTATTTTCAGAATAATTTATTCTCAGAATAATAATTCTCAGAATCTGTTAAAGCAGATAATTATCTGTTCAACAGAAATTTTTAAAAGAATCCAAAGTAGCAGGGATATAAAAACAATAATGACTAATGTAATTTGACTGCTTACTATTTTTCAGGCATTGTAGCAGCTTTATATACGTATATTATTATATATGTTCATAAGAACTCATGAGGACTTTACAGAGGGGAAACCTGAAGTTCAATGTTGAAAACTTGCCCAAGAACTGGAATCTGAAGGTTGATGTCTGTCTATTTGTTTCAGTTTATCTGATGAGGTCTCGAGTGGCTAAAATGTTCATTGCTATCACATAATAGTAAAAACATGCTAAGAACTATGGCTTAGAGAAACCAGAAACCAGGTTATATTTTTTCTTAGAAGGCAAAAGTCTCACACTGAATGTCACCTTGGTGGCTTCCTGAGCAGGTTCCACTATAAAGTGGAAGGAAAGAGAACTGGAAGGAATTACCATCATGCATTTGTATCTGGTTTATGCAAGTACCTCCAGAGCTAATTGGAAATTATTCTGAACTTACCGGAAATGTTCCAGGCTGGTATCAATTCATTTTGGTTTCTACCTCTGCAGACAAATATGCTTTCTTGCTAATACTCCCTTTACCAAGTGAGTCAGACTTCTCTCTCTTCTCTCTTTTTTCAAACAGTACTGGGGATTGAACCCAGGTATATTCAACCACTGAGCTACATCCCCAGTCCTTTTTATTTTTCGTTTTGAGACAGGTCTTTGCTAAGTTGCCAAGGCTGGTCTTGAACTTGCAATCCTTCTGCCTCAGCCTCCCAGTAACTAGAATTACAGGTGTGCACTGCACCTGGCAGGATTCTCTTCTTAATATTAAATATCATGATGTCTTTCTTAATGTTCACATTGAAGATATATTTGCTCGAGACAAAATTCCTATTGTCGTGGGAGGAACCAATTATTACATTGAGTCTCTGCTCTGGAAAGTTCTTGTTAATACCAAGGTATGTTTAGTTCACTTGTAACTCACTGAGGAAATGAGTTCCTCAGCTAGTTTTAGTGGGAAGAAAGTTGACTCTTGCTTATTTCTTGTACTCAACAACTGTAATTTTCCTACTTAATATTCTGAAGCAAATGCTACCTTTATATTGGAAGTGTGCTCCTCAAGCTGACCTAAGGGCAAGGACTATGGGTGGGAAAAATGTTCTTCTGTGGATTAATTAGCATCTCCATGTAAGTTAACAGTCCATTAGTCTGATTCAGCATTTCCTGGCTGGCAACACAGTATCTGTGACTGAGAGATGTCTAACACTGACCTTTCTTGTGGAGATGCTACTGTGTAGGGTGAGACTTTACATATGGTAATGTGATGGCAATTCTAGTCTGCTGTTTGGGCTAGATTCCTGGATATTAAAATAGATGTGGTAGCTCTGGTATCTGTTTGTGCTTATGCCAAGAAAGCAAGGGTAGATGAGTATTTCCCTACACAGTAAGCCCTCCTTCCTCTTTGTTTGCTGTGGTCTCACAGCACTTACCATAGCTATTGGAATTTTGGGTTTATGATCTCTCTCTCTCACCATATGGTAAGATCTGACTCATCTCTATTCTGTATTCCTAACACTGAGTAAAGTGCCTGGCATATATGCTATCTCAATGTTTATTGAATTGTTGATTAAATTTACTCTAAACCTTCATTTAATAGTCCCAAGAGATGGGCACTGAGAAAAGGGTTGACCGAAAAGTGGAGCTTGAAAAGGAGGATGGTTATGTACTCCACAAACGCCTAAGCCAGGTAGACCCAGAAATGGCTGCCAAGTTACACCCACATGACAAGCGCAAAGTGGCCAGGTAAGAAAGACTGGGCCTGCTGCCCTGGAATTCTTTTAGAGTTGAAGGGTAGTAAGATGTTCAGTTTGCCTAGGTGACAGAGAGGCTTGGTAATAGCAGTTAGGGGAGATTGATGTGTTGTTCCAGCTCAGCAGTTTAGGAGGCCCTGAGTTCCTGCCTCAGCCCAACTCCCTCAATAAATACTTGCACCCTGCTTTGTTGTTACGTTTTAAATGCATAGTACAGTATCATTTCCCCCTAGGGCCTATGTAATCTTGCTTCATTTTCTATTTGATCTTTGCTTGTATAACAGTTTTCATATAAATTTTTTCTGGCATGCAGTCCGTTTACATTGTGATTTGGGTTTCATAATTGATTGTGCAATGCTGAATTCTGCCTCAGCAGCTTTCCCAGTGGGAGGTGGATTTTATAAACTGTCTCATAGCTCAGCTCACCTTTGTACATGGAGACTTTCTTTTGCAGGGAACAGAGGTAGTGAATGAACTCATAAGGTCATGTTTTCTTAGGTTATTTGGAATTGCAGCCTCATCTGTTAGCTTTGTTTTTCTGCAGTGTTGGTAGTGATTACCACATCTGACAGAGTGAAACATCTAGTGAAGGACTTACTATACTATTTGGGTAGTTATACAGATTAAATATTATATTGATATTGTTTTGGTGTTGATGGGGGTTATAAAGTTTTCCACTCAAATGATTTTTCTAGATCAGTGTTTTTTAATCCTTTTTTCATTATTCTGCCCCCCAGAAACCTTTTTAGAACTTTTTTCCTAATTGTAAACTCCTCCCCTCCCACCTGAAAGAAACTTTACACTAAAAATAAGGTCTTGAAGCTGGGTGTGATGGTGCATGCCTACAATCCCAAGGCAACTTTAAAAAGGACTAGGGATATACCTTGATGGTAGAGTATCCCTGGGTTCAATTGCGAGTACCCCCACACCATACACGCACAAATAATAAGGTCTTTTCAGGTAGGGTTGTCCTTTGGAGGGGCACATACCATTGTAAGTTTTACTTACCTCCCCCACTGCCTTTTAAAATTGGTACCAGGGATTCAACTCAGGGGCATTCAACCATTGATCCACATTCCCAGCCCTATTTTGTATTTTATTTAGAGATAGGGTCTCACTGAGTTGCTTAGAACCTCGCTTTGCTGGGGCTGGCTTTGAATTCGCGATTCTCCTGTCTCAGCCTCCCAAACTGCTGGGATTACAGGTGTGGGCCACCGCTCTTGCTTTATTTACCCCTTTGAAAGCAGTATCACCCTGATAAGAATGCCATGTTCTAGATTAATCAAGTTTATACTTTGCAGTATCCAAACATTGTATTTTAAGCATTTTAATAGAAATCTTTCAATTTTTATAAAACTCAGTAACACAAAGGTAAACATTCATTTTTATATTCTTTTTTTATTCTTTTATGACATGAGTTTGATTTTTATTATTCTCCCCTTGGCTAATCAGTTTTTTCTTTCTTATCACCTCTCTATATTTGCTGCCTGTAAACAAGTAATGAAATGAGAGTTGTGCCATATTAGGGGTTACTAATTTCCAAGAAGAGTTCTAGAATCTCTCCTTTGTTTATTTTTGTTTTTATTTTTTTGTGGTACCAGGGATTAACCCCAGTGATGCTTGGCCACTGACTTACACCTTGAGCCCTTTTAATTTTTTTATTTTGAGATAGGGCTTTGCTGAATTGCCTAGGCTGGCCTCAGACTTGCTATTTTCCTGCTTCAGCTTCCTGATTGCCAGAGTTATAGGTATGTGCCACTGTGCCCAGATAAGTGTCTATCCTCTAGAGAGGATTGGAGGACAGATTTTTTGTTTGTTTGTTTGTTTGGCAGTAATAAGGATTGAACCCAAGCCCTCATACATGCTAGAAAGTGCTTTATCACTGGGCTAGCTTCACACCTAACCCTTTGAGATGGTTTAAGTTGCCCAGGCTGGACTTGAATCTGCAGTACTTCTGCCTTAGTCTCCGAGTAGCTGGGATTATAGGCATGCTCCATTACACTTGTCTGAAGGACTTTTTATTTTTCTTTAGGGTTGAGTTTATAGTCTAAACTCTAGATAATTGTGGTATTCTTTACATTTTGATTTTTTTATGTGTTCTGGGATTAAACTCAGGGCCTTGTGCATGCCAGACAAGGGCTCTACCACTGAGCTCCTCTCCAGCCCTCTGTTACATTTTTTTTTTCTCTTATAGATCCTCTTTGACCATTAATACTGAAAGACAAGGGGTCTTTACTCTTGTGTTTGGGTTTCAGGAAGTGGAATTGGGTCAGGAAGGGAAGGATCACTTTCAAGCTGATAAATTGCAATCACCCAGAGTGGTGGAGTCTAGATTTGGGAGTTCAGTTACCTGTGCTGCATAATATAGTAGATCCAGACTGAAGTGGATTTCTTCAATGATCTTTGTGCTAATAGAGTACTGGATTAGCCAGGAGCATTCCTCATTAATTTTAGACATATTTAAGAAGAAAGTTGATGAGCTGGATATACAGCATACTTTTATACTGTGGGAAAGGCACTCCAGCGAGACCAGACTTGTTAGCTTGTTCAAACTGTCCCAAATAAGCTCTTTTACTGCTCACATGAAAGTGAGTCCCATTCTATTTTTGTAGAAGAAACCTATAGTTTCTGAACCTATTTACTGATTTTAGAATGCATGTGTAGAAAATTAGTATTATTTTTCATTTACCTAGAATTTTCTTTAGAATTCTTTCTACATAGCTATAGGAATAGAGTAACTTTGGACCTTGTTTTGGGGGACTTATGCAGTGCAAATGAAAGTGAGGCTTTCTATTATATACAGGTTTTCTCCTTGTTTCACTTGAGAATGAATATTTCCTAATTGTTCTTATGGGTTCCCTCATCTCCTTTGAAACAACTTTAGGAGCTTGCAAGTGTTTGAAGAAACAGGAATCTCTCATAGTGAATTTCTTCATCGGCAACATGCAGAGGAAGGTGGTGGTCCTCTTGGAGGTCCTCTAAAGTTTCCTAACCCTTGCATCCTTTGGCTTTATGCTGACCAAACAGGTAAAACCCTTTGTCCTAGAGACTATCTGAGGTAGAACTAAGTTACTGTATAGTATATAAAATGCTTGGAACTACGAATGGCTCATAATAAGCACTAAACTAGTGTTAGCCACTAAGTTTATTATCATTATTAATGTGTGCTGGGATTGAATTCTTTGACTTAGATGCAATGCCCTTCTTCTAATTGTCTGTTTACAAAGGCAGGAAAGGGCAGCATTGGTACTAGGATAAGATGCCAGTGTGAGAAAGGAGGGGATGGGTGGAGGAGGAAATAAACTGCCAACCAGGGAAGTTCCAAAGGAGAAAAAGAAGAAGGAAGCTTCCTCTGGAAGAAGGTCTAACCTCAGGGTTGACTGGAGACTGGAATTCTAATTATTCTAGAAGTAGTAGGCCTAAAAAAATGGATAATATGATAGTTAGCTTGCCTGATGTGTTTTTCTTGCTAAAGTATAATAATGCCCTGTGATTGTAGTAACTTATTCATCCAGCAAACATTCAGTAAGCATCAGTGAAGTGTCGTGTACCCATATATTCTGTATAGTACTTGGGTTTCAGAGATAAATAAGAGAGACACTCAAGAGTGCTGTGGAACCACAGAGGAGGGATGATGCGCATTCTTCTAGGGGAAGTCAGGGATCAATTTGTAAAGGTAGCTGATGAGCTAGGACTCGGAAGATGAGATTATTATGTGGATAGGTAGTGTTACATAGTAATTAATAGCACAGGCTATGAGGCACACTGTCTCATTTCAGATTCTTGCTCTGTCACCTTCTACCTATGTGAGTTTTTAAGACAAGTTGGTTTACCTTTCTGAGCCCCAGTTCTCTTATAAAATGGAGATATTTATATCTTATAGCACCATTGAGGATTATATGAATTAATACATATAAAGTTGTGGGAGGGCATGGCTCAGTGGTAGGGTGCTTGTTTGGTCCCCAACACTGCAAAATAAGTGAGTATATAAGTAAAGTACATACAAAGTTCCCAGAATGTGCCTTGGTACACATGGTAAGTCCTCAATAAATGAAAATTTTTTGGGAAGAAGAAAGGTTATTATTATTACAAGCCAAGAACTAGCAATGATAGAGATTTAGAAGAGCATAACTGAAATGGTGAAAATTTGTTGTTAAATTATTCTCAGTTTTGAGTTTATAGAAAAAGATAATTTTTAATAATGACATTTTTGTAAATAAAAGCCTGTGCTATAATTCATCATAAAATAATAGTATTTGATTCATAATAAACCTGTTATTGGCTACCATATCTGAATGATTATGACCTCTCATTCCTTACTCCTTTATTTGTCTCAGTTCAAGATATACCTAGGATGATTTTGTATTAAAGTTCTGCATTCTTATCCAGGGTGTCATCTGGGGGATTCCTTTTTTTTTTTTTTTAATTTTTAAAAAATATTTTAAAAATTTGTTCTAATTAGTTATACATGATAGTGGAATATATTTTGTATTTTGACTTCTCATTTTTCTGCTTATACATGTTGTAGAATTACATTCGTCATGTAATCATATATGCACATAGGATAGTAATGTCTGATTCAGTCTATTGTCTTTTCTATTTCCATTCTGCCCCCCTTCCCTTCATCTCCCTTTACTAATCCAAAGTACTTTTATTCTCCCCCCACTCCACTTACTGTGAAATTAGCATTTGCATGTCAGAGAAAACATTCAGCCTTTGGTTTTGGGGGATTGGTTTATTTACTTAGGTTGATATTCTCTAGTCATCTGGGAGGTTCTTAATGGAAAGTAATATGAAGTTAGATGAGCAAATACAATGACCAAAATTAATAAAGGTAAACCAGGGGACCCTCAGCTGCCTGCTTCTAAAAAAAATGAATATAAATTTCATACAATAATATTTATCCTTCATAATATCTATAATTTTATGCTTTGGGTTTATATAATGAGAAGATATGTGATTCATTCTGGCTATTTTATTTTTATTTGGAGTTGTTGAAGTGTGAGTAAATATTACATGAATTATTATAAAATCTTTGAAGTCTGAATTCTTTCTTCCATTTGAACACATTTTCTTCTTCATAACAGCTTGTTCATTCATCATGTAAGCGTACAGTAGGTACCTGCAATGTGTTGCTGGTTCATGGGCTAATTTGATTCAAGTTCTAGATGAGCGCTTGGATAAGAGAGTGGATGACATGCTTACTGCTGGGCTCTTGGAGGAACTAAGAGATTTTCACAGACGCTATAATCAGAAGAACATTTCAGAAAATTGGTGAGGATTTAGCTATTACTCTGATTTACTCTCTATCCCTTGTCTGTGGTTGAAAGACCATAGATGTAATACTGGTTTTGGATCTACTTGTTTCTTAGCCTTTGTCCTTGGCATTGGCAAGTTTTTTTGAAAGGAGGTTTGGTGTACTTGTTACAGTTGCAGTTTTCTCATCTTTCAGACATTCAAAGGAGTTACTATACAAGGAAGTAATTTGGGAGACAGTGGGGAGGGGAAGGTAGAATTTCAGTGTCAGGAACTATTCAGGATCTCAGTTTCCTATGAAATGAAATGAAATGGCTCAACTAGATCATCTCCAAGGCCCCTGCTAGCTTTCAGAGGCAATGGCTCATCTGCTGATGCTCTCCTGTTCCCAGCCAGGACTATCAACATGGTATCTTCCAATCAATTGGCTTCAAGGAATTTCACGAGTACCTGATCACTGAGGGAAAATGCACACCAGAGACTAGTAACCAGCTTCTAAAGAAAGGTGTGAATTCCTCCATCTAACTAGTCTTGGACATCCTTGGGTGACAGAATACCCTGCTGGTATGGTCTGAGCAAGAGCTGAGGCTAGAAGAGTCCCAAATTACCTTCAGCTCAGAATTGAGATTATCATCCTTCAAAGCTAACTTTGTGCTGATTTTCTCTGCTGCTGGGCTGGGAGGGCCTGCCTTTTGGTGGGGAAAGATATACTTACCTAAATGTTTCTGTACCTACCATATCTTTCAGGTATTGAGGCTCTGAAACAAGTAACTAAGAGATATGCCCGGAAGCAAAACCGATGGGTTAAAAACCGGTTTTTGAGCAGTAAGTCTCATGTTTAACTTTATTCTCTGGGCCCACATTTTTAATAGAATATATGTATACTCTGAGCACCCAGAAAGTGAAATTTAGTTTCAGACCTGTTCTAAGATTTGGGACCTGACCTAGGAGAGTATGTATTACATAAATGATTGTTCAGGGATTTTTTTTTTGTGACACCTCAGGAAAAAAATAATATGTTTCCATTGAGGAGTATTCTTTATCCCTTCACCAGATGGTACTGGCTGCAAATAGGTATAAGACAGCAACTTCTTTGGCAGAGTTGGTGTTTGGTGCTGATTTTAGCTTTAGTTTTGCACCTGAAGAGCAATCAGAATTCTGTTAAGAGCTTTCCTAATTAAAATGGTTCTTGGGCCAGATGATTATGAGTAAGCCTTGCTGGGTGTGGTGATGCCCACCGGTGATCCAGCTACTCAGGAGACTGATGCAAGAGGATTGCAAGTTTGAAGCCAGCCTTGGCAGCTTAGCAAGACCTGTCTCAAAAAAAAAAAAAAAACTGTTTTTAAAAGGGCTGAGGATATAGTTCAATGGTGAAGTGTTCCTGGATTCAATCTCTAGTATGGGGTGGGGACAAAACCTTTACCACTTATTCCAGCCTCTTCTTTATAGTCAGACATGGTGCTTAAGTTGTTTCAATTGAAACTTTAGTAGAGCAGAACTCTTAAATTAAGAGGAAGAAAATTCTCATTCATTGACTCTGTACTGTGTCTTTGGCACTGAACTTGGTGATGTACATGTATTATTGAACTTTCAAAAGTAGGGGTTTTTACAGATGAGAAAATGAAGTCCTGAAGAAGTTAAATAACTTGCCTCAAATCCTCTAGTAGTAGATATTGAATGCAGGACTGACTTTAAAATCTACACTCTTGTTTCTTTTAGTTATACTGTTAGCTAGACAACATTAGTATTGGGCCTTGGTAAGAAATTGTGTACTTTTGAGCTAAAAGGAGATTAATTTAAGTGAAACTCCATTTTTATCTGTGGATACTTTTTAAATATACTATTGATTCATCCTTTATTTACTATTTGCCAGTAGACTTTTGCTTTCAGTTACAGGAAAGGCCCACTGAAACCTTCACCCCTGCTTCTTAGTGTGTATTCTGTGAACACATAAAACACCTTGATCCATGTTGTAGACCACTGGATTGCTGTCTTCTACATATCCTTCTTTACCTGCATGTCATGATAGAGGAGAAGTCTTTGTGTCATTTAAAGTTTAAGTTTAGTACTGCAAATTTCAAGTGCAGTTTCTCTTCCCAAGTCTGACAATAAGAGTAACAAAAGGCTTGTTTGTAATAATTTGGAACTTCCTCCTGTGGTAAAGCCAGAGTCACTCCCTTATCCCTGAGGGGAGGGGTTGATAGCACAGTGTGTCATATGCCTGTTCCTCATTCGTGTATGTGCCAGCACAGTCCTAGTGCTAGAGTGAAAGGCACAGCTGCTCTGTAAGTCAGGACCCACGTGTGATTGGTCAGGGTTGGTCTGCTGGGATATGGTTCTGGCAAGGAGCCAGAGGGACTTCCCCACCCCAGCTTGGCCTTGGACCCAAGCCAGAAATAGCAGCTGGGAGCCGAGAACTTGTTGAAAGGTGCTTAGACAGGGCACAGAAGCCCAACAAAGGACTTAGAGGAGAAAGGAAAATGTAGAGTGGCCTGGAAACAGGTGCAAAGCTTAGCCAAGGCCAGGTGTACTGTGGGTGCCGCCTGCACCCTCCCAGTCTCACCTTTCCGTGTGGTGGCAGGTGCAGCCCAGTCTAGTTTGTAAAGAATCTTATTTGTGGTTGGCACAATCAAAAGGCCAGCACCTGCCAGACGTTGGCATTCTGATGCCTTTGATGTTTTTTGTCCTTGGGGTGATGCTCTTTGCCTTTAGTCAACTGACTTCACCTACCTGCAGAAAGCAATTTAGTTTGTCTGTAGACTGAGGAAGCTACCAGCAAACAGTGACTAAAGTCCTGCTACATGGATGGCTCTTGGGTGAAATGCCTGCAGCTATACTCCTTGCTATCTTCAGCCACATCTCCATTCAGAAGTATTTACCAGTGGGAATTTCTTGAATACGCCTCTAGAATAGGCTCTTAAAAGAAGGGAGTCATCTAGATTAATTCCAGGACATGTTTGTAGTTCCCAGATTCTGCAGCTTCTTGGCTCATACTATTGTTCCCAGCCCATGGTCATCAGCATGCTATCAAGGATTTTCATGAATGCTAGGCTACTAGAGGGATATGTCTTCCCTGAGACTAATGTCCGCTCCCAAAGAAAGGTGAGAACTCTCTTGCCACAGAGTGCCATAATTGTAAGATGACATGGAACTCAGACATGTAAAGCTCTTTATTTCCTTCTATTATGTGCTGTCTTTATGATGTAGCCCATACAGTGTTCACTAGAGCTGTTACTCCATTTTGATTTCTTTACTGATTAGCTAGATTCTGCACCTGAGTCTCTGGATATGTAACCAGACTTACTAGCTGCAGACTAGTTAACTTTCAAGATCTTGCCAGGTGTGGCACACCTGTAATCCTAGTGACTTGGGAGGCTGAGGCAAGGGATTACAAGTTTGAGACCAGTTTCAAAAACTTAATGAGACCCTGTCTCAAAATTAAAAAAAATAAAAAGTGTTGGGGATGTAGCTTAGTGGTAAAGCACTCCTGGGTTCAATCTCTAGTACACAAAACAATAAAACAAAACAAAAACACCAACCTTATAGGTCTTTCTTGGATTGTGGTTAATATTTATAAGGATGAGTAGTTTGGACAGAATGTTTATTTCTTTGGCCCTGTGTGTTACTCTTGAGGGTTGTAGAGTCCTAGGACAGAATGGATTGGGTCTTGGAGGATGACCTCTCACAACTTTTCTTTGTCATCTTTAGGACCTGGTCCCAGTGTCCCTCCAGTATATGGCCTAGAGGTGTCTGATATCTCAAAGTGGAAGGAATCTGTTCTGGAACCTGCTCTTGATATAGTGCAAAGTTTTATTCAGGTGATTATTAATCATGGAACAGTTTATTGTAATTTTCCTTCACTGATATTTTTGTTACTATGTTGGGGGAACACACCTCTTTTTTCAGGGAATAAAGCAGATAGGGCTGGCTGCTTTTAGATCCCTGGTCATTGTGTTTCTACTTTCACATTTAGAAAGATTATTGCTAGGTGGACACAGTGGTGCACGCCCGTAATCCCAGCAGCTCAGGAGGCTGAGGCAGGAAGATTACAAGTTCAAAGCCACCCTCAGCAACTTAGTGAGGCCCTAAGAAATTTAGCAAGACCCTGTCTCAAAATTAAAAATAAAAAGGGCTGGGGATGTGACTCAGTGGTTAAGCACCCCTGGGTTCAATCCCCTGTATCAAAAAATAGAAAGGCTGTTGATAAAATTTGTTCACAGCCTACCTGCTCCACTGGATGTGAAAAAAGGAAACTTGGGAAAATCCCATTCCCTTAATATCAGAGAACTATACCCAAATCTCTGAATTGATTGTTCTCCCCTTCTCTGCCTCCTTGATTTTAGGGTCACAAGCCTGCAGTTGCTCCAATGAAGATGCCATTCAGTGAAACTGAGAACAAGAGAAGTTACCATATGTGTGATCTCTGTGATCGAATCATCATTGGGGACCGTGAATGGGCAGGTAGAGTGTGGGAAAGGCATGGAGAAATATGTAAGGGTGTGTTACCTTGCCTTCCTTAAAATTTAGGTCTTTGGTAGGTTGAATGCTGGAGTCTGCTTATTTGTAAAGGGAAAGCCAGATTCCTCTAAGAGCCTGTGCTTAAAATTCCTTGGAAACTTTCCCAATCTGGGGAGTTGTCTCTGCATTCTGAAATGTAAAGGCATATTTTACACCCTCCAGCTCTAGCTGGAATAGGTAATTTCTACTCAGAGATCTGCAGTTAACTTTCTAGAGCTCCTTTGACTTCAAAATCCTGCCTGAGAGAAATTTCTTGGCCTTTCATGTTTAGAACTCAGTGGGGGTGACATGATTGTAAGGGAATCAAGTCACCTCCTCCAGGAACCTGAAGAAGCAGAAGCATAGCTGGGAGGGAGCAGAAGTGCAGTTACTTCTCTGGAGCACATTCCTCAGAAATAGTTATCTCTTCAGTACTTTTCAAGGTAATTTGTTGAGCTAGTGGGAATGGCTCAACTGTGATGAAAGACGGAACAGAAACTAACAGTGTGTATAAAGAAGGAAGAAGGTAGTGCACACCACCACCCCCAGGCTACCTGCCCTAAGGCTCTGCATCTCTGCTTTAGAACTTAGATTTGCCCCACCATAATCACCTTCCACCTCCATATCACTCTCCTGTGAATTTCTGTAGTCATCTAGTCAAAGCTTAGGGGATTCATCCCCAAGCTTTGAATCTAGAAACATGTAAGGCTAGCTTCTTTTAGGCACAGTGGGGCTTATAGTTTACCCAGTGGCTGGAATCCTTCTGTTCAGAATACTGCTTTGCTTAGATTCTTAGAGAAGTAGATTTTTCTCCTCATATCAACCAATAGAATGATTAGGTCTATTAACTGGTAACTGGCAAAATGAACTCCATTGTCAGAGACTGGGGATGGCTGTGATTGCCTAGCCAGCAGAAGAAGCCTTGATTGTCGTTGGTTTATAATGATGAAAGGGGAAGGGAAAGAGAGTGTCTGATTGTTTCATAAAGGAAACTTAGTGGTTCGATTTGTCGAATGTCATTCAGGGGGAGCCTCAGAGAAGCAACATTTGTGAGCCTTTGTGAGCTTAGCTGTGTAAGCCCTTCTATAGTGCCATCTGTCAAGTCCTTGCTCCCATCTCCTGCTGCCATGGAGAGCCAGTCCAGAGCCCAGATTTAGCCTTAGGCTCTAGCTGGAGAACAAAGCTGACTTTTCTCCCCCAAAAAACTGTTCTTTGACTTCTAACCTCTTTTTTACTTATACATTTTTCTAAGCCCTTAAGGATAAAGTTTTTTTACTATGCATAAAATAAATTTATCAAGTCGTCCCTCACTTTAAGCATTTCCAGGAGACATTTTCTTGAAGAAAAACAGGATAGGAAAAATGAGACTATATGCGTTAGTCAGAAGGTGAGAACTGTCCTAGGGGTGAGAGGTCAGCAATAGCACCACAGTGTGTGCTCAGCTTCGCTGCTGGACTCAAAGAAGAGGTGGTCAGAGACAGCACCCCCTTACTATCTCTCTGGAGCATTGTATGCTCACAGAATGGAAGCCTTGTGGGTTAGTCCTTCAAATGGCTTATTTGATCCAGGACTAAGGATATCAGACCAAGAGGGACAATGTGTGAGAGCTGGGCAGGAGTGGGAGAGAGGCACCTGATATGTTTGGTGCTACAGCGTGAGGCATAGACAAAGATTTGGATTTCTAGCCTTGTGAGTTGAAATGTATTTGTAACAGGAAGCCCCATACCATAGAGATCTGATTCTGGAAAATGAGGTCTAGCAAAAGAGTTTACCTGCTGTGTGACTTTGGACAAATTGTGAGACCTCTCTGAACTTCAGTTTCCCTCTATGTAAAATGAGCACAAGATCTGGGCAAGGTTGCTGTAATCCTGGTGACTTGGGAGGCTAAGGCAGGAGGTTCCCAAGTTCAAGGTCAGTCTTGGCAACTTATTGAGACAAAATAAAAAGGACCAGGGTTGTAGCTCAGTGGTAAAGTGCTCCTGGGTTCAATCTCTAGTATCCCCAAAAATAATAAAATAAAATTTTAAAAAGCAATATTGTTGTGAGGGTTAGTGATATGATGCACCTAGCACTTGATACATGGAAGTTCTTTCTGACTTGGTAAGCTAGCTGGCCATATAAATTATTTTTCCTTTAAAAAATGCTAAGCAGGTATACTAGTTTATTTGTCAATCCTGTCATTTATTATTAAAAATAAAAATTATGTAGTTGAATTGCTTTTAGGATTAATTCTAAAATGTCCTAATGAGGCTTTTGTTTGTTTGGCTTTGTCTTATCAGCACATATAAAATCCAAATCCCATTTGCACCAACTGAAGAAAAGAAGAAGATTGGACTCAGATGCTGTCAATACCACAGAAGGCCAGAGTATTTCCCCAGACTGTGACAAAGAATTTAAAGAGAAGGGATTCTCACAGCAGAATGATGAAGAGCTGAAATCCAGCATTTAAGAGACATGTTCAGTGGCCTTTGCAAAGGTGGTGGGAATACAGTTGAGGATGGAGGGCTGTGCCTGTCTCCACATCTGGGCTGAGGAGTACTGTTTAGAAAGCCTCACCATTTTCTTTCATTAAGTGGTGTGGTTTAAAAGTCTCATGTTGTCTGTAATGGAAACAGCAGGTCTTTCAGCTCCTTGTGTGGCTGTTGTGTCAGGGTAGGAATTTTTTTTCTTTGAACCTTAAAAGATTTTATTTTAAAAAGAAGCACAGATTATACATTTTTATACTTGAGGATCTTTTTAGTGGTGAACACCAGGATTCATTACATCTTTTAAAAGAAGTTTTGTTTTTTTTTTTTTTTTTTAATCCCTGATGCTGGATAAAATTTCTAATTTCCAGATGCTTCTGTAGGTGACTGAGATATTGTGTGCCACAAATCAGGAATTCTGGATTTGAGTGGATGGCAGGAAAGGACCATCCCCAGTAAGATGATTAAGTGAACCAGACAAGTTCTTAGAATTCCACAGTGAAGGAGGGAATCAAACTGATGTTGTTACCTGGAACTTGAAGACTAAAGACTTTGAAATTCTTTGAGCTACTACTGTGTGATAATTGCTATAATTGTTGTGTTCTTGTTGAGTTAGAAATCTCTGTTTTAATTGAAAGCCAAATAAAGTTTACGAAATCCTCTTTGATATTAAAAAAAAAAATGTAAGCCTGCATCCATTTCATACACAATATGCTGTTATCAATTTGATAAACTTTTTCTCAAATTTGACATTATTCATAGACTTATGTAGCAGATATCTGTTAAGCACTTACTCATGGAAGATATCCAGAGAAGGTCTTTTATTGAAGATTTGTTATTTCAAGTTGAAGTGCTCTTTCTGGAGTTATTGAGCTGCCAACAGTATTATATAAATATTTACTTATTTGTAACAGAAAATTAAGCATTTTTAGACATACAAGTCAGCAGCATTATACATCACATTATTTTGGCAATCACCACTGCTATTCCAAAACCTTTTCATTTCAGACAGGAACTCTGCATTCAATAAGCAATAACTCTTCCCTTCATAACTTGTTCAGAATCTGTTATGTAAGAGGCCCTGGACTAGCCTTGAGGGAATATAGAGATGAGATGTGGTTCTTGCTTTCAGAAATCTTGTAAATATTGTACATACACATAAGCCACTAGTCTAGGAAAGAGTAATCAAAAGCTATAAAAACTAGAATTTTGGTTTAGAGGGAAAATGAAGAAGTCGTAGAAGGAGGACCATTTCTGCTGGATCTTAAGAAATTTTTGGTAAATGTGTCATCTGTGCATAGAAGAGAAGGTAGAGTGAAAGAACTATATAACTTGATGGACCTTTTGGACCTTTTATCAGTAAGTGCTGAATTTCAGAGCCTCACTACCTTTCACTGATTTGATTCTCAAGAGTAAATTTATTTTCTGGGTGCGGTGGTGCAAACCTATAATCCCAGCGGCTCAGCAGACTGGGGCAGGAGGATTGTGAGTTCAAAGCCAGCCTCAGCAATTGGAGGTGCTAAACAACTCAGTGAGACCCTGTCTCTAAATAAAATTCAAAATAGGGCTAGGGATGTGGCTCAGTGGTTGAGTGCCCCTGAGTACAATCTCTGGTAAAAAAAATTGAACAAACAAAAACTCCAAAGAACAAGTTTATTCTCTGGTCAGAGAAGAAACTGTCCTTATACCCCAACCCATCCTGTTCTCGTTTGTTAGGGTGCTAGCAGGGTAGGAAGCCACATCTCACTGGGTGCTAAGATGAGTGCTTCTTGTGAGCCAAGCACTTGAGATACATTATCTTCCCACCAAAGCCCTGGGTGAGAGAGGCTGTCCATTGCTGTGAACCAGTTGGAGACCAAGGACAGCAAAGGAGTGCAGCTAGCAAGCGGTAGAGCTGGAATTGAGGTGAGACTGAAGACACTAGCTGTTAAGTCTTGTGTTAAGCTAGCTGTTTCGAGGGAGGAAGCTTAGTTTCTGAAATACTCTTCTCAAGTTGCTAAATAAGTTTTCAAGCTTAAAAAAAAGACTCAATGGACAAGCAGGAAAAACTAGTTTTAATAATCTTGCCCCAAAAAGCCTTTAATCCTTCCATCTGAAATACCTAGAGCAATAACTTCATCACTATCTCTTTGACAGTTGGAATTCAGGAATGTTTTTATCTCCACCCCCCAAAGAAGAAGACAAAAAACCAAAATGCTTAATATTTATGAAGCATCTGCTAAACATTTAGACTCTGTCTCTAAATAAAATTCAAAATAGGGCTAGGGATGTGGCTCAGTGGTTGAGTGCCCGTGAGTTCAATCTCTGGTAAAAAACAAACAAAAAACCCCAAAGAACAAGTTTATTCTCTGGTCTGCTAAGTTCAAGACATCGCGGTTAAGCCTACTGTGTATATTCTTAGAAACTGTTAAGTTTGGCAAAAAGGAATTCCTTCACCAGTAGCAAAGGACCTGGGGTAGGCAGAACACTAAGAAATCTGCTGAGTGTCCAGGTGTGTGGCATTACCTTAAATAGGTTTCCCCTCTGCCCTCTAAATAGCTTTGCTGAGGAGTGTAGGAAGGAAAGTCATTTTTCTGTCTTGTGATTATCACCAATGTAGAGGTTAAAGAATCCTTAGCCTCTTCTTGTACAGAGTGGGAAATTGAGGCCCCAAACATGGATGTGCCACAGTCACAAAGCAAGTTGTGGTAAAACCAGGACAGACCTTTACTCACCTTTTCACTCAACTACAAAATCTCTTACCAAATCTCATTGGATATCTGGGAAGGAGTATTAAATCTCACATTGGGCTCTTTGCTCAGCTGGAGTGAGGATGAGGAACACCCGTTTGTGCCATCTGCCTTAGCTAATCCCCAGATGAACAGATTCCTTAAGTTTAGGTACCTAGTCTTCAGTCCACCAGGAGTGTTATCTAAATGGCTTTGGTAACTAATTCCAACACTGAATGAGCTATTAGGTTCATCTGCTTCTACCAGTAAAAAAAAATCTTGATTTAGGCTTTGTGTACTTACAGTTTATACAGTGTTGTTTTAAGCAGTTAAGAAATACTTTGAAAGAGTTGGGTTCTTTTTTTTTAATATATACTGGGGATTAAACACAGGGGTGCTTTGCCACTGAGCTACATCCCCAGCCCTTTTTATTTATTTATTCTCAATTTTGAAACAGGGTCTTGCTAAAGCTAAATTGCTGAAGCTAGCCTCAAACTTGTGATCCTCCTGCCTCAGCCTCCCAAGTAGCTGGGATTAAGGCATTTGTCACTTACTTGGCCAGTTGGATTCTTTTTTTTTTTTAATATTCTTTTTAGTTGTAGATTGACACAGTACCTTTATTTATTTTTATATGGTGCTGAGGATCAAACCTAGTGCCTCACACATGCTAGGCAAGTGCTCCACCATTGAGCTACAACCCTAGCCCCAGCCGGTTGGAGTCTTAGTTAAAACACTTTGCTTAATTTTTAGGCTTGAGTAAGAAAAGGGTTTGCTGATAGCCTAGATACACAGTTTGATCCTTTGTAGCTCTCAGCAATTATTTGTACTCTTTTTAAAAAATTATTTATACTCTTAACCTCAGTTTTACATTCAACAAAAATAATTTTTCTATTTAAAACATGTGCATGTGCATGCACGCATGCACACACACACACATGCACACACACACACAATCACCAAAGCAGTGGGGATATAGCTCGGTGGTAGAGTGCTTGCCTAGCATATGTAATGCCTTGGGTTTGATCCCTAGCACTGCAAAAACAAAATAAAAACTCAAAAACCACACAACATTAAAAACCAACAGCAATAACAGAGACATGAAAACAAGCTTATGAATCCAGTGACTATGTCCTTAGCACCGAGAATAATTAAAATATTTGTTGAATTAATTTCCTGAAAGCATAAAAGCTAAGTGGGTCTCTAAGTGCTCTGATTCAGTCATTAAATACTATTTACCCAGGAAGAAGTCTTAGTGTAGTAGCCACATGCAGAAATTTCATTATTTGATTATCACCTACTTTGGTAGTTAGAACTATTTTCTAAAATGTTGGCTAACTGGTCATTTGTAAAGCTATTCTCCATGTGTACAAAGAAAAGTACAAGGTTGTATTGGTTAGGTAAGAGACTAAGCTGCTGTAACAAACAATATGGTAGCTTAAAGAACAATGCGTTTGATTCTTTCTCATATAACAGCTCTGGGGAGTTAGCCTTTCTGAAGAGAGCACTCCAGGTCAGTGGGGCAGCTCTGCTCCAGATGGTCATTCAGGGACACAGTATCATGTTGCTTCTCCATCCTCTGGAGCATTGTCCTCATCTGTGTGCTTGAAGCTGGCATCATTTGTCCCAGAAAGTGGGAAGGGGAAAGGGAGCAAGGACGAGGCAAGAGCTGGAGGCACAACCCTCACCTGAAGGCTCAGACCCTGCAGTAACACTCCCAGGTCTGCTCACTTTCTATTGGCAAGAGCTTAGTCATATGGCCACGCCTATCTGCCAGGGAGGCTGAGAAATGGACTCCAGCCATGTGCCAAAAAAGAATGGGAGAACAGATTTTGGTGGACAACTAAATTGGTATTGTGGAAAGAACACTGAATTCCAACCTCATTTTACTAATTAGCTCTGTTAATTTGCTAGGGGCAGATCTCTATTTTGCCATCTGTGAAATTCGTGAGTCGTATGCACTGACCTCTGAAATATTTCAGAAAGTAAAGCTTGACAAAATCCTAGCTGGTGGTACTTTAAGGCAAGAATGGGGGGAGGGGGGGCGGGAAGCATTACCAGGAATGTGAGACTATATAGGGTCAGTGGCGAATATGCTAAAGGTGGTGAGGAGGAGCTGGACACAGTGTGCAGTGACTCATGCCTCTAATCACAGCTACTGGGGAGGCTGAGACAGGAGAATCAAAGTTCAAGTGCAGCTTGAGCAATATGGTGAGACCCCCATCCCCCAAAAAATTAAAAAAGAAAAGATGGTGGGGAGGAATGATGGAAAGTGTTTTGGTAACCTTGTGAAATAATTGAACTAATGACTACCTGCCCACTTCCAGACATTTTTGTTCCTCCTTTGGTACTGGGGATTGAGCCCAGGGAGACTACCACTCAGCTACATCCCCAGCCTTTTTTTTTTTTTTTTTTTCTCCTTCATTTTGATACAGGGTTTCGATAAGTTGCTGAAACTGTTTCAGAATTTGCCACCCTCCTCCTTCAGCCTCCCATCCAGACTTTTTATAGGGGGAAAACCCCACAATTTGTAATTGCAGCTGAATACTTTCCTATTCAACATACTATCTGTGTAACCTTTCGGAAATTATATAAGCAGCCTCAGTTTTCTCATGTGTAAAATGGAGTTATCTGCATTCCAGGGGATATCATATCATTAAGTTCCCCTCCCTCCCTCCCTCCCTCCCTCCCTTCCTCCCTCCCTTCCTTCCTTCCTTCCTTTTTCTTTCAAATCCAGGGGTGCTGTACCACTGAACTACATCCCCACTCCCTTTTAATTTTTATTTTGTGACACTCTTGCTAAATTGCTGAGGCTGGCCTCCAACTTGTAATCCTCCTACCTTACTGAGATTATAGGGTGTGTGCCACCATGCCCAGCTGAGTTCCTTTTGTAAATAGTATATTGGATTGGCACTGTGGTGCCCAGTAGTCAATTGGTATAAA